AACAAAAAAAAAAAAAACTGAATACTATTAAACAGAATAAAAATTAAAAAAAAAAAAAAAAGAAAGAAAGATGCCCACCTAACATGCTTACTAAAAAGAGAAAAAAAGAAAACTGGGGAGACTTAAAAGTGATAAACTTTAAAGTGCTGAAAGTGATAAAAGCTCTAGAAATTATTTTCCAGAATGACTCATTGCCATTGATTCCAAAGAAACATTTTATGATTTAGTCTAAATGTGTGCTGCACGTACTTTCCCATCTACTGCTTTCCTCTGACTGTGGAGATAAAATAGCGCTCAAGTATCACCAGTGTCCTGCTAAAGCTGTATTATTTTGAAGCATATAAACTGACGTTTTCTTACCTCAAAAATCTCCTGGCATTATCACAATTCAGAAAAGAACAGTCCAAGTTTGGGTGTTCAAATATTCAGAGCCACAAAACTTTAATGACGCAAGAGGAAAATGGAAAAACTGAAATCTAAACACTGATTTCAGTCCCTATCAATTTATGGCTTTACTTTAAAAAGCACATAATAATTACCCTGTAGTTCCTTACAGCTGCTGACAGAACAAAAATGCTGCCTTGGCACAGCATTTCCTATGTAGCGCTTATGAATCTCATACATGAACTTGTTTTATGCACTCTACAGACTAGAAGCAAATTCCACACCTAAAAGCAACATTTACTCTGATCATTAAATTCTGATTTTTACTTACTCTTTTTATATATTCTTTAAAAAAAAAAAGTCCTTCAAAATGAAAACTATCTAATACCAAGTCCTAAAGAGACTGTGAGTTTAAAAGGAAAGAGTTAGGAAGCTATACACCTTTTGTGTACTGGACATAACCACAAGACTGACTCTACCTAACAAAATCAAATATTTTGACCCGGTTGTTTGTACCCCCACATTAACCTAAAATTAAAAAAAAAAAGAAAGCTAGTAAAACATGTCAAGAAATGTCTTACTAGGCTTGGCACCCATGGCTCAGTGGTTAGGGCACTGGCCACATACATGGGGGCTGGGTGGTTCAAACCTGGCCCGTACCTGCTAAACAACAACAACAAAAAAAAAAGCCAGGTGTTGTGGTGGGTGCCTAGAGTCCCAGCTCCTTGGGAGGCTGAAGCATGAGAATCGCTTAAACCCAAGAGTTTGGCTCTGCGCCTGTGGCTCAAGAGGCTAAGGCGCCAGCCACATACACCTAAGGTGGCGGGTTCGAATCCCCAGCCC